GCCGGTTATAGATCTAGATTTGATGAGGTCCTAAGCTAAGTAGTGTAGGTACCTAAAAAATATTTATATCATGACAGTTCCTCAGCAGAGTAATGTAAAGTTTCCCTTTCAAACCTGACGGTCTATGGGGCAAGGGAAGTAGAGTTCACTTGTTTCTGTGACCTCGGCATATGAAAAGATAGTGTGGTCAGCACTATGCCCAGCCGCCTTTACTTTCCCTAACGTGAGTTAGGTACCCATCAGAGCTGGTTGGGCTCAGGGACGGTGAACTGACTTGAACCCGGATTCGACAGAGTAATGTAGTTATATAACTAAATGTGTTTATAATGTTTCGAGATTCCTATAAATATACCAAGTGTAGATATAAGTAGACCCTAAACTACTTGAGGTATTGATTTATATATACAAGGAAAATATGTAGGTTTTATTATCATTTTTTTTTCAGCTATTCAGCTATGGTGTCTCAACTCTCAACCGCTTTTGCTCTTTAAATATTCTTTTTTTTTTGCCATTTATGTTGGCACTAAGAATGTGCGCTCTAAACTGGCATATTTATTGCAGAAGTAATTTTTTACGCGAAATAAAATAAAGTGAAACACAAAAAAGGTTGGTTTAACTGTTTATATAATCGTACTTACTAAATGACGCATTTACCCCCCCCCCCCCTCCTTTATGTTTGTCTACAAGTTTAATTACGAGTAACTGCAATTTTAGCCAGGAGATTTAAAAACAAACTGCAACTTTAGCCAGGATATATAAAGAAAAACAACACCTGTATCTTATCCTCAAAATATTTTCTTAGTAACTGACAGTCTTGATGTGCCTATTATGAGCACTGGCTAGTGTATCTAGGTAAGGTTTACCTCTGCTGCCCCCCCCCCTTCCCCTAACCGTACCGTTAAAAAATAAAGATGCCTGAGGTAAAAGCTTGACTTGGCAAATTGGATATTCGTTTCCAAGGGTTAAATTCATTGTGACAACCCAGAAAGTGGTCACATTTTTCACTGAACTTTTGTAGAATTTCTTGACGTTAAGACAATAAGGTATATATATATATATATATATATATATATATATATATATATATATATATATATATATATATATATATATATATATATATATATATATATATATATATATATATATATATATATATATATGTATATATATGTCTATTTATTTATATATATATATATATATATATATATATATATATGTTTATAGATTGAGTTTAAACATTGTACCGTAGAACAAGTATAGCCTATGTGTAAGCACGTCCGTATAACCCCAGCGTGTAATTAACAGGTTGCCAGATTAAGTTACCAGATAAGATGTAACTTGGGCCCCATAACGTGGGCTAATCAATCTGTACAGCCGGATATGTTACGTTTGGCGGAGATTTTAGCAGGGAGTTGAATAAAAATGTATACACTAGGCTAGCCAATTTGTTTAATTGGAGCTGCTTAGAACAATATTTTTGTTTTTCTTATATAAATGATTTATGCACGAAATATTTTATCATCTATATCTATATAGTGTATATGTATGCTCACACACACACACATATATATATATATATATATATATATATATATATATATATATATATATATATATATATATATATATATATATATATATATATATATATAAAGCTGCAGCTTAATGACCCTCTTTCTTGTCTAGCTCAAATTTCTTTTAACTATATTTAAATCACGTGGTATTCTTCATTTGTTGGAATTTCCTCCAACAGTGTTAAGTATTACGTGTCAACTTGTTATTTGCGAGATGGGCCGTTGACTCCGATTTCAGACTGCTTTTCTTTCTGGATTTGCTTTCATAGCCTTTGTCCACATATAAACAACAAGGCAGCAGGTTTATTTTTATTTTAGAGGTTTCTCTTTAAGATAGATGGCTGTCTCCAGATAGCGGAGATGATCTGCCCGGGTTTTCGAGCTCGGGACTTCTGGAGCTTGAGATCACGCGTTACCCTGCCCGACCACGCCGTCCACTTGTTAGTTTTACAAAAACGTTTAAAAATAATTGTGGCTGAGTTCGTGTAGTTGACCAACAGCCAAAAGAGTTGGTACCAAAACAGAGGTGTTGACCTGTAAAGTTAGTGTTGTTTGACGTACGTGTGAGCAACAGTGTAGAGGTGACTTCAGGCCGGCTCTTCCGTGCCTCGAGATTTGTTTGTTGTGATTTGTCTAAATACCGAGACGAGACGTTAAACGCAAAAAACCAACACGACCTGTTAGACCGCCTTACGCCGTCGTCTAGTAAAGTGACGTTGTTTGATGTTGGAGCTGCATTGTAGTCGAATGTTTATAACAGATTTGGAAACATATACTTTTATAGTGACTCGTCTATACCAGCAGCGTAGCGAGGAAAGGGGGGGGGGGGGGGGCGGGGGGGGCATATGTCCCCGGGCGCCGACCTTAGCGGGCGCCAAAATGGGTTGGAAAAATAAATTGAAAGGTTGAGGAGGGTGCAAATCGAAATTTTGAGGAGGGGGGGGGGTGCAAATGGAAATCTCAAGGGGGGGGGGGGTGTGCAAATCGAGAGTTTGAGGGGGGGGGGGGGGGGGGTGGTGCAAATCGAAATCTTGACGGGGGGTGCAAATCGAAAAGTTTGTCCCCGGGCGCCGGGAAGGGTCGCTACGCCTCTGGTTTATACGACTGAGTGATGAATTGTTTTCCCGATCTCCAAGAATGGGCTCTTCCAAAAAATAATATGTAAAACTGGTTTTGAATAACATTACAGTATAGATGTTGTGGAGTAAAATAAAACTTGTTTGGTTTAATTTTAAACTGAGGGTGATGGTTTGGAAGTTGGTAAAAATGTTAGTAAGTAGTTCACTAACTATACTTTACCACCCCCTCCCACAAACCACTATTTTCTAGGTATATAAACACTCCCCCTGCAGTTATTATTACTTTGCTTCCATTGGATTTTTTCCCCACTGTACTAATCTACCATGAATTTGATACTTTATTAATCTACCCATATTTTGTTACTGCACGAATCTACCCATAGCTTGTTAGATTATCGGTCCCGATAACTATTGTAAACATTTCTCAAGCACTCTTCAACGCCATTGACCCCGTTTCCTGTTTATTTATAGCTTGCCATCACGTGATCTTCAGTGATAAACATTTATCCCTTAAGTACCTGTGTAAACACATTATAGTATAGATTTTTTTATTGTGCTTACAAACGTACATTCTTTAGCCTTAGAAGTTCTGACGTTGATAAATTTGGACCTCAGCACTAGTCAAGATTTGTCACATACTTTTTAAAATTGCTAGAACTATTGCAATGACGTAGTTCCATCCGTGAAATGAATACACATTTCCCCCCAAAAATAAATTTTTTAGATTCCTTTTATGTGCAGTACAAACTATATTTACATATACCTTAGCCTTGCCCTAACTTAATCCACCTACACACATTATCCCCCACCCCCCTCCCTTCTGTCTTGATTAAATATTTAAATACCTTTTTTATCCCTTATACTTGCCTTCTATAGCTTACCTGTAATTACGTCAGTTGAATTCCTAGGTGTATTTAACTAAAATATAGGCTTACCCGTTTAAACTCTAATCAAAGGTTATTAGAGATGTATATGGTTGGCCTATATATAATTAAGAGCATCTAGCTGTTATATGTTAGAAGTACACATTTCATCTTGTTGATGTTGCTGTTGATGAGGCTATAATTAGTAGGGTTATGGTTAGTGTTAAGTTCAGAAGTAAATTTAGGGTTGTGGGTTTTAAGCTTATCTATTTGTGATAATAGTGGTACGGGTATGTTGGATGTTTGGCAATCACATTTGCCAACCGTTATAACATAGGGCCTACTGTTTTGTGTATTGAAATCAGGTTAACTGTACTTTATTTGCGAGGTTACTTATAGGTGTGTCTGAGACTGTACTCATTTTCTGTTTAAATTAATGTTTTTTTTTTAATTTAAAATATCAACCAGGTTTTGAAAAATAGAGAATACCGAGAGCTTGGCGGATAGTAATAGGGCTACCGATAGTTGGTCCAGTGGTTTTTGACCGTGTAGGATCTTATACTTATAGCACCGCCCCCCCCCCCCCCCCCACTAGGTTCCATATGAGCTTCACCTAAACACTCGGTAAGTCAATAATTCTATCGTCCGCACTGACCAAATATGAACCGGGTGTGTGTTTCAGCCTCCATTGAACCCCTGAGACTGACTCACCAAACCACTGGGGTTCGATCGAACCCAAGTTAAGAACCACTGTTGATCCATGATCTTTTTTTAGCGTTTGTAAACGTTCAACAAAAAAAGTAGATACTTGTTTGTTGAATGAACAGAAACACCGGTATAACACGTGATCACTGTGTCGTATCCACTAGGAGGGTGGGTCGGGGCAGTGACCCACCCCCTGGAAGGCACTATCTCTATTTATAAACACAAATTGCTAGAGACATGAAGTAGTCCGCCCCTGTAATTATGAAGTGACATAATCAAGAGTCGCGGTCTCTGTATTGTTGGCGCTGAACTTAATTGTTAGACCAAAACCTCTAGGATGGGCTCTGAACTCAGATGTTAGACCCACGCCTCTGCATGTTAGTTGTGGTGCATAGTAAAACCGCCATTCAAGTTCAATATAGCGTCGATGATTCACGGGGGTGGGGTGTAAAGAGAGGGAATAGACAAACACGGATACCCTCCCCACATTGAAGTGTGTTTTAAGTCAAGGATCCGATTGACTGTCTATGATTGACCGAATAATGAGATCTAGATCTAAGCTGTAAAGATCAGATTGACAGTGTCTATGATTGACCGAATAATGAGATCTAAGCTGTGCGATTCGACTGAGCGAATAGAAGTACGACGCTATTTATAGCCCAGCCACATGCTGCTCTAATCTATAATTAGCCACATCATAAAATCAATTCGCAGTTTTAATGCTATTTTTAAGTGCGGTGTTATCGTATAATAGGCTATTGATGTAAGCAACAGCAAGCTTGGTAATCCTTCAGGAATGTGTAGTTAATCATCGTATTTGTTTGCTTGTTGATGTTCGTGGAAGCTGACATAACAATGTTGCTATATCTGGGGCTAACTGGTGTGTTTGGCCGGCAGTTTTATCAGGAAAATCTGGATACCGCACCTGTTGGATATTGTTTCGTAAACTTATAGAGAAAATAGTTTTAAAGTTTCTTGTCAAAACGTAAGTTAAAACCGAGTGAGCCTTAACCAGTGTGTCACGTGATTTTTTAGCGCAATTTCCATACTGACAACTCGTCATTTCTGGTGATGGATGGATGTGTGTCCGCAGCTTTAAGTCGTATCTCCTCCTCAACGAAGCAATATCGAGGACTAGTTCCAAAAGCAAATATGTTAAGCAAGTTCCGAGGATGATTGTGGGCCAAAAAAACTCCCGGAATTCCTTCCTGGATTTCCCGGAAAAGCCAAAAAAACCTCGAATAAATGCAGTTTTTGGCCCATATCTCGGCAACCAGACCACTTAGCGACTTGAAACATTTACCAATCGATTCCTGCCATAATTTAGAACAATATTGCCGAAGAAAGTTTTCAAAAATATCCTTTCGTTCGGTCACAAAAAATTAATTAAGGAAATTGCGCTTAAATTGTCACTAGACTTTTTATTAACTTGTTTTGTCGTTCTATTAGTGTTTTAAATGTTGATGTATAAGGGCCTTATTATTTGCTACCTAAAAGTAAAAGGTGTATACTTGAAAAATAACTGAATTTGATTAGTTTACAAAACGTAGGAATAAACTCACGCCCTTACGTGGGAGTGGGGGAGAGGGGAGGGGGGTAAACAAACTAACCACAACAGGTGAACTGCTTAAAGCAGGTGAATCACCTGGAACACATGGGTGTTAAGGTAAAGTCTCCTTTTGAGACCTGCCGTTTACATGGGACCTTCAGGTTCATATATTTTTATTAATTGGTTTGTACCGAGAGGCTGTGGGGCCTGCACGATAACCAATCGATCATTATTGTTCTGGGTCTTCTTCTTCTTCGTTCTAATTGAACGGGATTTCCTCCAAAACAATTAAGTATTACGTTTCAACATGTTAAGCGTCATTTAGCCAGTTGACTGCATGATAAGCCTTCTCAGTATAACTGGATAATCTCGGGAGAAAGATAAAAGACCTAATGTTCGAACCTTTGTTAGGTTCGAACATTAGGTCTTTGAGAAGACGTTCATACACTGTGATGCTGCACTCGTCTAGCTTTAAATAGTCTTAAATTTATTGCATTGTCTCTCCTTCACACACACACACACACACACACACGCTCACACACACACGCACGATCTTTCATTATTCCTAGGTTAGACACATACTGCAAATTGGTACAAAGTATTAATTTAAAAAAAAAAACTGCCAATTAGGAAAAAGTTAGATCAAATATATAGCAAATAGGTAAAATATGTAGATCTATAAACTAAACAGATGTTTAAACGAATTCAGATGTGTGTGCGTTCTAATGCAGCGTTAACCGTTAAAGAAGGTCTACAAACTCGGAAGACTATCTAAGTTATCGTCACGCAAAAGAAAACATCAAAAGAAAGAAAAACCTGTACCTGTTTTATAACGTTAACAATTATTAGCTTTAATCATCGGTGTGGGTATTTTATTGCATTTGTTACGACTTAAAATCGTTATTTTTAATTCTTCTGTTAGTACACTAATGTAAACAAACTACTTGTACATGGACACACACAGACATACACACAAACTATTTGTACATGGACAGACACACACACACAGACACTACTTGTACCTGGACCCATTTGATAATCTCATCTAGTTTACCCAGTGTGAAATATTTTATCACAACATCTCCCCACCCCCCTTCCCTCCCCTTCTTCTACCCCCAACCCATCTCCAACGTCAGTGCATGAATATAAAATTATATTGTCTTTAAAAAAAATAAGTAAACAATTCCCGGCAATAAAGATATATTTTTATTACATCATATTATTTGTTTAAAGATTTGTTATTTCTTTTCCAGATTGAATGTAATTGAGGCACCGCACCCATAAATCAGAGATATCAACACAACTTCTTTCATCTAGTCTTTTCTCCATCGTGTGTGGGTTTTCGCCCCTTAGTGCTATCTGGAGGGAAAAAAGTGAACTTGTTTAAATTCAGGGGAAAGTAACTCCATCATGAGTTCCAAGACAACTCCGCCAACAAACCACGTCATCCTGTATGTGAGAGCCGGCTGGGACGGCACCGGATACGGCGCCTGCCCCTTCTGTCAACGGTTCTACATGGTCCTGGATCTGAAGGCCAAAGGTCAGGCCCTGACCTATGACATCATTTCCGTTAACACGGCCAGGCCGCCTCCAGAGTTCAGAAAGTTCGCGAATAGACTGCCGGTTTTGAAACATGGGGATGAGGTGAGACCTGTTTTTGAGGTTTTGACTGAGCAAGCCCACATTTAGTGAGACTGGGACTATTGTTTGTTTTAGCTGAGCAAGCCCACATTTAGTGAGACTGGGACTATTTTTGTTTGCTTTAACTAAGCAAGTCCGCATTTAGTGAGAATGTAGCTATATTTGTTTGTTTTAGCTGAGCAAGCCCACATTTAGTAAGACTGGGACAATTGTTTGTTTCTTTTGGCTGAGCAAGCCCACATTTAGTGAGACGAACTATTTTTGTTTGCTTTAACTAAGCAAGCCCACATTTAGTGAGACGAACTATTTTTGTTTGCTTTAACTTAGCAAGTCCACATTTAGTGAGACGAACTATTTTACTATTTTTGTTTGCTTTAACTTAGTAAGCCCACATTTAGTGAGACTCCTTCAACATTTTATTAGTGTAGTTTCCTTTAGCCTAGCCAGCCCACTCGTGCAATAGGCTAAAGTTGAAGTGGGTCATAAAACTTTCACTGGTTTCCTTTATAAAAGTATGACGTGTCTTCATCATAAAGTTTTCAAGTCGTTGTAAAAGGCAGTAAATTATCGATGTCTTTTTTTTTAAATTCTCCCGACGTTACCGCTGTTAAGAAATGGTTGTAGTGTTATAGCCCACTATAACTTTAAAGTATGCCACTATTTCTGTTCAAAGTAGTCATATAATAATTAAAAAAAAAACAACAGCAACCATGTTTAAGTCTAGCATTACCTTTCTGAACCTACATTGATGTTTATTCAATCAGTCATTTCGATCAAACACTTTTTTTTATAATACTTACCGTAATAGCTAGGATTTTTTCAGAAAGAAAAATACAGCATTACATTAGAGATAACACATGTTAAAATTTCAACTGATGTAATTTCTGTAAAGGGAATATCCAATGGGTACTATAAATAGTTAACCCTGATTGATGACAAAATTTGCCGCCATCTTGACGTGACGTGCTTAAGTTATATTCTCGTCAACACATTGTTAGTGTGATGTTTCACATATAAACATAGTTGAGTAATCTAAATAAAGTATTTAGTACAGTTGAATTTCGGCTGGTTACAGAGGCGTAGCGACCCTTCCCGATCAAAAACGTGGGGCGCCGTGATTTTCTTACAGTTTCTAATACTATTGACTTTTATTAGGGAGCTTGTAGAGAGTCAACAGTATTAGAAACTGTAAGAAAATCACGGCGCCCCACGTTTTTGATCGTTTATAGTAGAGTGATCGCTTGCATTATTGTGATGTATAACATTTATTTTCTACTTTTTAGTTCAATCAGAAAACGTGGGTTTTTAAAAACTTTTTTAATGATTATTATTTTCTACTTTTTAGTCTTTGTCTGTTTGTTTGCATTAAAATCTCGTAAAAGTTGTATAGCATTAAAGTCTCGTAAAAAGACAACTCGTAAAAAACACGTTGTGTGAATACGTTACTGACTAGAACACATAGATTTGAACCCGCGCCGAGTGGGATAGCAATCGTGTGCCCAACCACTCGACCATATCGTCTCCCCCATACTGGCCACCAGTTGTTACGTTCTGGTTGTTTGTACACAAACACTGCGTGAACACTAGTCAGTAAGCAAAAAGAGGGAGAGTCCCGAACCTTGTTTTCATCAAATTACAGTTACTGGGTTATGTCCCTTTTCCCCCACGTTTTTGTACAATTATATAGCGGCCTAAAATGATCAATAAAATGTTTCCATGGATCAATTTAGTAATAATAACAATTGAATATTCTATGGTCATCGGAAACAAAGCTTCCCTGAAAATTTCAGCGCGCTAGCTAACTGGGAAGTGCCCGAAATTTCGATCGCAAGATTTGATTGGAGAACCAACCAGACGCGAAAGCAAGTTAAAGAAAACGTGGGAAAAAATACCATTAGTTAGCTGGTGAAATAGCAGACGTCAAGCGCTAAACAAAACTCGTCGTTTGTCACTGTTGACCCATGTGCACCCTCGACAGACGTAACTAATTAGGCCTAGGCGTCGTGCGGATTTTAAACACAATGTCAAGTTGATTGTATTTTAATTACTATTCGTAACTAATGAGACAATGACAACACAAAATAATAACATTAGCCCGATTGTAGCAAATTGCCGTTACGAAATTGTTCTTCCGTCTACTTTTACATAGTTTAAAAACGGTTTTAATAAATCCAAGATATCATTGTGTTTATCAAATCTGCTTTACCTTTGTCTGAAGAAGAAATGAAAATGTTGATATATATATATATATATATATATATATATATATATATATATATATATATATATATATATATATATATATATATATATATATATATATATAGTCAGAAAATTTTTTTAGAAGCTTTCCTTTCACCAATAAATTGATAATACGTATACATCATTCGGTTTGGTACTTAAGTGCAAGTATATCGAAGGCAAATGTCTGAGTGAAACACGGCTTAAGTTGTAGTCTCGCTAACTTAAACAACGTCTTGCTTCTAAGTTCAGGACTTAGGTCCAGTTAGGTAGTTTTACAGTCACTAGTTTATACCCAATGAATTCAATATCGTGTTATTCGTATCTCTCTTCCCAAAAATTAGTACAGTCCCTATTTTTAAATTCAGTTTAGTATTCGATGAAAGATTTTAATACATCATATTTCTAAACATTCTGACGTCATATTTTTAAGCATTTTGACGTCATATTTTTAAACATTCTGACGTCATATTTTTTTAAACATTCTGACGTCATATATTTAAACATTCTGACGTCATATTTTTTAAACATTCTGACGTCATATTTTTTAACATTCTGACGTCATATTTTTTTAAACATTCTGACGTTATATATTTAAACATTCTGACGTCATATTTTTTAAACATTCTGACGTCATATTTTTTAACATTCTGACGTCATATTTTTAAACATTCTGACGTCATATTTTTTAAACATTCTGACGTCATATTTTTTAACATTCTGACGTCATATTTTTTAACATTCTGACGTCATATTTTTTAACATTCTGACGTCATATTTCTAAACATTCTGACGTCATATTTTAAAACATTCTGACGTCATATTTTAAAATCATTCTGACGTCATATTTCTAAACCTTCCCGCAGGTCATCATGGACACGGAGGAGATCCAGCAGTACCTGGACGCCACCTTCCCCACCCCCGACCTCCGCTACACCAACAAGGACGCGCACACCGCCTGTCTGGACGTCTTCTCCAAGTTCAGCTTCTTCATCAAAAACGTCTCGCACACCTCCGACCACCTGGTCAAGGAGCTCTCCTACCTGGACAGCTTCCTTGACCGCTCCAGCAACAGGTTCATCTGCGGGGACGAGCTGACCAACCTGGACTGTAACGTTCTTCCCAAGCTGCAGCACATTCGTGTGGCCTCCAAGGCTTTCAAAGACTTTGAAATCCCAGCGGGGATGACGTCGCTTTGGGGTTACCTTGGCAACGCGTACAAGAACGACACGTTCAAGAAGACGTGTCCGTCGGACCAGGAGATCGTGCACCACTGGAGCGAGAAGAAGGAGACGACGCCGCTGCCTGAGTCTAAGCAGAAGCTGTACATGGTTGAATCCACCCCCAGGTTTAGCTTAGAGGTTCCAGCGCATATCAATGGGCATTAATACTTTACATTTTTTTTAAAAACAAGAGCATTGGTATTATATTTAATTGATCATGAAATATGATTTTTGTGTAATGTATTTCTTATAAATATATAGGGCCTGAGTCTTAAAATTGTATCTTTTAGTGTGTGATGTTTACAGACTGCATATACTTTATAGTAGAGTGGCTTGCGTTGAACTGATGATTGTTATATATTTTACTCCATACAATCTGGTAGATTAATTTTTTAAAATATTTTTTTTAAAATAAATAAATTAGTAGCTTTAATTAATTAAGTTATTTGATAATTATTTTAATTATAAATATTTGCTGCAGGACAGTTTCCATAAAAAGAAAAAAAAAACGTTGAAAGTTTATAAAATAACATTTTTATTTTTATATTGAAATGTTTTTATGTTCAACATAAAATTACAACTTTGAAAAAAGAATTATCAAAATATATTTACTTATATACATAAATAATTGCAACTTTATTGTGCTTCCATTAGCTTAAGCAGATATTTTAAAAGAATTTCCTTAAATAAAATATAGGCCTATTTTTCATGTTGTTTTATGACTTTTATTATAAGATTGAATAATTCTTGCCAAAGAAAACTAGCATTTAAATTTTTTTTTAACTTGTAAATCTAAAATTGCTACTATTTATTTATATGCAAATGTGCTTTTAACAGTTTATAAATTAGATTAAATTAAAAACAAACACATAAAAAATTATGATCATGCAATTTTTAGTAGTTGTAACTTTGAATATGAATAAAAAGTGTTAACAAACAGTAAAAAAATTATTTAATCAGTTTGTACTTTGTTAAAATTCATTCATTTATTTAAATTAAATGACTGCAGATGCCATTTGTAATAGTTTTTGTATTAAATCTTAAAAGATGATTTCCAAATTAATGACCGTTTGTCATAATTACGATCCTTTGAAATTAAAATCTTTATGAATGATTAATCAAGCTGTTTGATTAGTTAAATGTAACTCCTTAAAATTGTGTACATTGAATTGCATTTAATAATTATTTAATATTTATGTATCAAATACTCTCTAAAAGGCAAGTTTGTATTTTTGACTGATATGATGTAGCAAGGGACATAACCACAACTCTCATAAAACCAAGTTTTAGAAAGCTTTCTATTTCCCTTCTTTTTATTTTTAAAATCAAAGTTTTATTTTTTTAACACTATATTTAGTGAGAAAAATTATAATTTTAATTTTTCTAAGATTTGTTAAACATTTATTAAACAAATATTTAACATGTGAATTATTTTGTATATCTAGGTGACGACATTCATTGAAATAAACCTTTGTTATTGTATTATCTTTGGAAAATATATTTTAATTCATCTTCTCTTAAGACAATAATAAAGAGGAAATAATGCTGTTAATAAAAATGTAACTTAAATTTTAAATTGTTTTAAATAAATAACATTTTCATATTAAATTACTATCTGATCCTATAAAATATATTGCATAATAATTGTTTTTTAAATGTCTAATGAAGTAAGAAGAAGCATAATGAACGTAAATTATGACTTAATACAAATTATTATTTCTATTTTCCTAAAAGCACTAACCAAAAACATATTTTGTAATATCTGAAATTTAAAATAATAACTAAGCGAAAGGTGATACAATCATACATTAATTTAATTTAGAACAGTTATTTCCAATATAACCTTTGTTTGCTTATTAAAACAAATAAAATAAATACTAAGTAGCCTACCTTTTTTAATTGAACTATTTTTTATGTTTCAGTTTTACTTTCAATTTGTAAGTTAAAGTTACACTAATAACGTTGGTAGTATATATATTTTTAAAAAAACTTCTTAAATTTATTTTTAAAAATTCAGTGAATTTAATACTAATTAATGTTTTAACTTTTAATATTGGGGAGTAAGAGTAATAAACATTTTAATGCCAAAAACGTGATTATATCTTTATAGATAATATTCCTGTTTCTTGTCTCTACTTGCATGCATTAAATACAATTCTACTGTTTACTGCTGTATTTGAGAAGTTTTTCTGTTTCTATAGCATTAAACATGTGAGAATGAAGTAAATATATAGTTTTTTGTTCATGTTGGTTGTGTGGACTATAGACGGGACTTTGTGTCTGTGATAAGTAACGTGGTATTCTTGGCTGGATGTAGATTAGGTCAGATTATATCTGCATGCAGCTTCATAAATGAAGAGTAAAAAAAAAATGACTTTGAAAATATTACACAAAATGTGATATTTAGAAAGGAGTTGTAATTCAATCTGGCGCCCAGTGCCATCCATTGATTTTGTTCCCCCTGCCTATTGAAATTTAGTTATTCACGTTGGCGAAAAAGCGCCCACCTCTCCCATTAGGAAATGTTTGGGCACGTTTCACCACTCACTATTATTTAATTTTTTTAAAAATTTCGGCGTTAAAATTGGACGGCGTGGCCTAAGCGGTAGAGCGCTAGGCTGCTAACCCGAAAGTTTCTAATCCGGGTACCTAACTCTTGTTAGGGTAAGTTAAGAAACATGAACTACTTCAAGAGGATTCTTTACTTATTTCGGCGTTAAACAGTTAAAGGTGTCTGTAGCCACAAGTAGCATTTCATGTTCTTGCAATGAAGCAATGCAACTCATCATCATCATCATTCCTTTGTGACCCCTGGGGAGCAAAGGGCTGCAACCACACATCTCCATCGGACTCGGTTTTGGGCTGCTCCATTTATCTGTGCTCATAATGAGCTTTTAATTTTTTTCTACTCCGTTTGACGCCCCCCCCCCCCTCCCATCCTTCTGGTCGTCATTCGGGGCTGCCGCCCCACATGCCCTCCTCTAGATACGCCTCTGCGTAAATTAGACATCATGTTAGTCATAGTTCTTATTATAGTGGGCAGGTGGACCACTAACACAAGTAAGATTATCGTCCAATAGGATGGTGAACAAATCTCAAAGTTTGTAACGTAGCTTTTGCAACCTTGGCTTGACTTAAGTCTTCTTTACACTTGTGGAGCATAGGGCCTCAGTCATAAACTTCCATTTTGTCCGGTCCCCGGAGTTCCATTAGTAGTCTGCCAAGACATCCCTGCGGCTTGTCTTGGTACATTAGCCAGGCGAATTTAGATATGTGAATATGCGAAAATTGACATACTGGCTTTAAAAATAAAAATAGGCAGGCCTACTTTTGAGACAAGGGAACTCGAGTATTAGTTACACCTTCACGAAAAGCTAACTTAAAGCAGCAAGCATTTGTATCAACATATTATCACAAGCAATGGGATGTGTTCACAATTGTATACTCATCAAACTAAGGTTGGGGCATTATGTAGGTTCTACCGTCATACATCTGCACATCACTAAACAAATAAAGTAAGTCATCTTAACAATACGTAAGGATAGATAACAATTTATTTTCAAGGCTTACGTAACAGTTCACTCCCTTGTCAGGACAGGTACGCCCCATCAAGTCCACTACACCACCCACTGTCTTGGGCTAATCAAGCGATATTGAAAGTAATATATTATCAGATTTCCCAGTATTTTAGAATACAAAGTGTGTGGGATCTATCTTACGTGTCGGTCAGGTGTTAGAAGTCGTAGGTGGGGTTTATCTTTTCGTTGAACGGTTCTCAAACGGACGGACCCAATAGCGCATCGCATAACAAACTCATGTGTCTATTTACCCTCTGATATAGTATTTTGTTATGACGGATATGCACACTAATGGGGACAGTAAAGTAAGTAAAGTTTCCTTTTCAAACCTGACGGTCTATGGGGCAAGTGAAGTAGAGTTCAATTGTTTCTGTGACCTCGGCATATGAAGAGATAGTGTGGTCAGCACTATGCCCAGCCGCCTTTACTTTCCCTAACGTGAGTTAGGTACCCATCAGAGTTGGGTGGTCTACTGTCTTGAACCCAGATTCGAACTCGAGACTTACGGGTTAGCAGTCCAGCTCTCTAGGGCTAGACCACTCCGTCCCCAATGGGGACAGAACACACACTATTTACCCTCTGATATAGTATTTTGTTACAGCGGATAAACATGCTAATGAGGACGGTATATACTACTATATACACTATTACTCACAATAACAACAATAATACAACTCAGATTTAGTTTGTGTAATAGAAAAGTGCTATATGTCGGAGCAGTACGCTTCAAAAAATACTATTGGAATCGTTAATTAAAAAAAAATCTTGTTATTTTTTATGAAGGCAGTCTCATCGTGGTTGCCGTTTATGTTATAATTATTAAAAAAAACAGTATTCAATTTTTCTATTTTGAAGTAGCAATGTCTAGAATTTTAATCAACGTGATTCGCTTTCAGGGACATAAATAACAAATACTGTTTTTGCAAGCTAGCCTGATTCATCCAGAAACCTGGCTAGTTCATTTTAGTTGCTATTAAGTTTCTGAAAATTTTAGCGGTTCCATTGTCAAGATTGACCTTGATCAAACTTTTTAGCGGTTCCATTGTTAAGATTCAAGATTGACCTTAATCAAACTTTATTTCAATTTACAAAAAAAAAGGGTTTAAGCATGCAAAAAGAACGGTTTAAGTTCGGTTTAAAAAAATTACTTTAGAAAATACAGAAGTGTAATGTCTCTCTTTCTTAGCCCCCCCCCCTCTCCTTCCTCCATGTCACACATTTCACATACGTCCAACGAGGGTCACTAAGCAAGACGTGACTACCTTAATTAACCTACGGCCTACGTGATAAACTGTATATGCGGAATCTAATAAACCTATCAATTTGAGATGAAAAGCCTGAGAACCCTTGTAAAAGATAATTTAAGATTGTGTTATAAAATAAGTATATAATCAACATTAAAATTTACTGATCAGTCTGAGCATAATTTCCATACAGGTTGGATAACTTATCAATATTTTATTCATTTGTAAATGTTTTTGTATTATTATAGGTTAATTATTATAGGCCTATCACCAATGATACTTCTCAGACGGATACATGTCTAGTAATTAGAAGTTTTTTTGGTTCTCTTAAATCGGAAGAAAAGACATCCTTAAAAAAAAACAACTGATTCCTGTAAATTTGTCAACCCGATGAAGACCAAGACAGTTTCTTTCAAGACTACGGCATCTAACCAAACCAAGCAGTAAAGGGTACTGGCTGTGGTGTGGTTTAGTGGTAGAGCACGCTAACTATCTCAAACTTCATATGGCAGAGTAGGCTACGTGAGTCGCTGCACTGTTAAAACTACTGCTACACAACTCAAAAGCTCAGGGTTCAAACCTCTACGTTATATGCAGCTAGTATCGTAACACTTATGGCGAACCTAACAGCGGAAGCTGGGATTTAATTGAGAAAGAAAAGACAGTAACGGTCGTAAAAAAGAATAGGTTGTAGTGTATACAAATCAGTTGTCAGCGAAGCATTACAAACAGGAAAAATCATGGACATAAATTGGAGGAATCGCCCAAACCCAAGAACGATAGAGAGATGTGATTGTGTCCCTATGCTACGCAAGGCTACGCGGGAATGTTGATGATGTGCGACATAGTAAAATGCCAATATCAGCATACTAACACGTTTAGAAAATAGGATATGATGGACTATGCAAAAAAATAAATAAACCGGGAGTGATCTCCCCAAAACTTTCTCGAATATTCTTATATAACTTAAAATATAGACATGATTTTTTAATTACTTAAACTTTTAAAAATAGAATAGAATCTCATAGAAAAAAGAATTGCGCACCAAGCGAACGCCAAAACAAAATGTGCATAATAGTGCGCAGTATTATTAGTACTTTATAAATTTACATGCGTTTTTTGAGAAATAGGAAATAGCGTAAATTAGTACTTCCGGTCAACGGAAATGACTCAAAATTTGACAGAAGCTAGAGAATTAGATCTTTTACTTACATGTGAAATTTCATTTATCTATCCTAAATAGTACTCAAGTTATAGGCTTTTGAAAAATTCAAAGTAGAAAAAGTACGACTTCCGGTTATCGGAAATCGCTCAAAAGTTGATACGGATCTACGATTTTGAGAAAATACTTATATATGAAATTCCATCAACCTAGCTGTAACGGTACTCAAGTTATCGTGTTTACACACAAACAGACAGACACACACACACACACACACAGACAGACAGACACACAGACATGCTGACAAGATTACAAAATTATGTTTTTCCGTATCAGTGAGGTGTAAAACGTCGAGATTTGTAAAAATCTCGATTTTTTTTTGCACGATTACAAGACTTTCTCTATAGGGCCTACTTCGTATATACGAGAAAGTAAAAAAGATAAGATCGAAATCTTCTCGAGCATTTTCAACAAAGACTCGACGACAGAGAAGTGACTTCTTTGACGTTATGAAAGGGCGTTAAAAAATAGAAAGTAAAAGTGAACAGGAGTTCAGACAATGGACAAATAAAAGCAGACTGAGGAGTTTGCTAGGCTAGTGGCTAGGATAAGGACAAGACACTTAAGTCACGTCTCATCTAAGATAAGACTCTTACTATAGACCGTAGTGCTATCTTTGAATGTTATTTAAACATTTTTAAAAATATTTTTGCAATACAGCTCTTATAAATATATTTTGTAAAATAAAATAAACGTTTGAATATTTTTCTATTTTGTATAGAGACTCAAACATGTCATCCAAAATCGAAAAGCTGTGCCACTTTGTGGAGAAGATGAAAGCATTCCCATGTTCGTTTAATTTGGGATCTGCTAATCTTGACGTGGGGGGTCAAGTATTCAACACCAATGGACTCCGCGAGCCAAAGCTGCAGAAAGGTATTTGGTCAAGACTGAAATCTTACCTGGAAGAAGACGTGGATCAGTTAGACCCAGATCTTGTTGATCCTACATGGAAAGATAACCTGAGGGCTCGAGTCTACGCTGAACTTGGAGACTTTGAAAGGGCTAAGGAAGTTAGCTCGAAAGTTCTAGAAAGCTGCCCAGAAAATTTGGTGGGTACGGCAAATACTGCGTTTCTGCTCGCATATGAGTTAAATTTTAGCATGGCTGAAAATGTTCTAGAAAAATTGGAAGGAATAAAAAAGAGTGAGAATTTCGATCAGTTGAAGCTCGAGGCTATTGTAGAGCAAGCTTACACGCACTATAAAATTTTAAATCCTCATAACATACCCGACGTTCAAAACGCAATTAAAATTCTTGAGTATTGCGTGAAGGGGATCAACAGTGACGGAAAGACGACAGAAAAACTTGAACTCATGTTGGCATCCTTGTACAAACGTAACGGCAACCGCGATTTTAACGAAAATAACGAGGAATTTATCACCAAAGCTGTCAATCTGCTTAGCTCTATCAAAGATTCCACCACAAGTGACTCCGTTAAGGCGATTTGTTACGTCAAACTGGCAAGATTGAACAGAAACATGGACGAATCCGTTATGGACATGTGCCAACAAGCAGTAGAGCTAAAGCCAAACAGTACCCGAGTTCTAACTACTGCCGGTCCGATTTTAGTTTCAGTCCGTGATTTTTATAGAGCGGAAAATTTACTAAGGGAAATAATCAGAAACACAAACGACCCACTGAATTATGCTTTTCTGGGTGGTGTTTACTTTTCCCAGGCTAAAAAACACAAGTTTGATTTCCCCCGGTGTAAGAATGACACTTGGAGATCAGCATTTAACATAAAGAATAATCTTGTGAGACAATTGTTAACAATCATAAGTAATCTACCTTCTTACGGCGATAGGAACACCTATATGAGGAAAGCTGTTGATTGTTTTAGAGTGTACACAAGCAGTGATGCCTGTAATGCCAGCCATTGTTGTAAAATAGCTTTTAAACTGTTTTTAGCTCGCGAGTATGACGATGCCTTCAAAGTTTGTCAGAAAATTGTAAGTGGGGATAAATCTAAGGTGTCAGCTTGCCACGTTGATGCTTATTATGTCATGGCGCTCTGCTATGCCTTAAAATGTATACATTCTTCAGATGTAGAAAGCCTTGAAGAAGTGGAAAAGAAATGTTTAGAAATGGTGGTATTAAGTCTTCGCTATGCGGCTGTTTTAATGGTGGAAGAGGCTGAAAGGTATACAGTAGATTATTATCTGTTGTGGAGAGGGCTTCGTGAAAGGCCTAGGGGTTTTATATTATACCACGTAATGGATTTTAGACTTAACAACTTCCACAGGCTACAAAAGTTGGTAATTCTATTTAGTTCCGTTTTACCTGATCTGGAAAGAATTATCCAGAAGACAGAAGAAGATTGGAATGACGTGACACAGATAGAACAAGAACTAGAACAACTGAAAAACACCAACCTAAATTTAGCTTTGCTGTATCTGTCGTTAATCAACTTGAGACCAGAGACCAGACAGCGTATCTCATGGAGGAACAGTCATGTAGTACGGGCAATCAAACTTGAGGCAGCCAAAGACATCTTCACACAGGGGAAACTGGGAGTCTGCCATGATGGAATATGGCAGGAAATCTTTCATGAGGAATTTCAAATCGACCCAAAGTCTAAAACTACCCCAGTGGCTTTACTAGACCGGTTAATTAAAGGAACAAGTTGTGATGTTTTTATTGTCGAAAACATCAAGACAACAAACCACAGAGGAAATGACGTCATAATGTCACAAGTTTTGAAAGACCTTATCACAAATATTTGTGGCCTAACTGTGATGACGTCAGCAGACGTTTTAGACGCAGACGAGATAAGACAGGTCATATCTAGGTCAAACGTTCTGATTGTTTTACAGAAACAGAAACGAAAACAGAGCAACAGGAACGAAACGACCTTGAACCCAACCCCCACCAGATCAGATGGGAACGACTCAGGTGTGTTGAGACAGTCTCTGGAAATATTTGCTGCCTCGTCCAAAGAAGGAACCACGCCCAGACACGCCATCATCGCTGTGGTAGAAGACGAGAACCACGAAGACGAGCTTAGAATTCCCAAAGAACTTTCTGGACACTCTCAGCTGACTTTTACATTGGAGGAGGTGAAAGTTTTGGAAGAGATGAGCAGCTCTAGAGAAGATGGTCAAGTGGATGTTTTTATGAAACTTTTTAAAACAATCGTTAGACAATGTTAGGTGAAAGGTCATGTGGATGGTTTTAAGTTGTTGGTTTGAAACTTTGAAACTTAGAAAAATCAATTATGTAAATAGACATCTTATTTCTGAGTAGTGGCTTATCTTTCGATTACTTATTAAATTTTACACAGTTACATTCTTAAAGCTACACTTTAGGCCTTTAGTCTATCCCTAAACTTAATGTGACTAAAATTCACTGAATCTAAATTGTACTATAAAATGTTTTGTTATGATCGCTTTAGTATCGTCACTGCTCTTCTATTCGCTGGCCTTTGCTTTTCTTTTACCACGCTGTCCCCATTTTTTTCCCACGAAGGCCGTTAAAATTAAACCAGTCCAATAAGGTTTCATTTGTTCCTCCTTTTCAGAATGTTAAGCTGAGTTAGGTGTCACTAATTAAAATAGTTTAATCAGGTGCAACTTTTTGCGGTGCTTCTTTTCCACGAACTGTTAATGATGTCACACTCATAGTCGTAAGGGGGAGGGGGTCCTGGTGTGAAACACTCTTTGCAATTTAAAGAAGTAATGATAGAAACTGAATTTCGGACGTTATTTTGCGTTTTAAAAAATCGTTTTAATAAATTGTAATAGAATTTGATTAAAATACCCAGCGTTGACCGAGATCAGTTAATATTTTTGAAAGAAGAAAAAAAAAATCGATGTTTAAAAAAAATTCAAATGCAGTTTTGTGGAAGGGTGCGGTTGTAGGCTGAGGTGTGACGTCATTTTAATATGGGGGGGGGGGGGGGTCTGGGTTTTTATGACGATGTGTGACTAAGAGGTAAGGGAGGTAAAACTCGTTTAGAAATAAAGGTGACGCCATATGGATGACCCCTAAGCCCGCTAATCGGGTTACTCGTGTCTCAAAATGTGCTCGACCCAAAGCAAATTTTAGCTCGCTCCACAACTCGTGTCTCTTGGGCACTTGTATGTCGAGGTACCACTATTGGCAGAGGCGTAGCGGTGGGGGGGGGGCAGGGGGGGACATATGTCCCCGGGCGCCGAACATAGGGGGCGCAAAAATGGGTTGTAAAAACAAATTAAAATGTCATTTTAGCTGCATTTTTGCAGTTGGGGGGGGGGGGGGGTTGCAATCGAAAAGATGAAGGGGGGGGGGGGTGCAAATTAAAAATTTGCTCACGACTGGGGGCGCCAAATTGAAAGTTTGTCCCCGGGCGCCGGGAAGGGTCTCTACGCCTCAGACTATTGGGCCCTAACGCATTTTTAAAACTGCACGACTAGCTAGGATACGCAAATATTGTATGACAACACAGATTAATAAATTAAAACGGCAAGTAGATTATAAAAGAAACAACTAGAATATTTAACAAGTAACCCCTACAAGTAGGTTGTTGTACGTATTTTTAAACTCCAGCAACTGCAAATAAAATTATACCAGAAAACAAATCTAGGTTTTTTCCATCACCACATTGATACCAATTTTGTGGCTCTAATTTCATTTGGAGCTAAGATACGGCCTTTTAAAATTTTTAGTAGAGATCTACAAGTTTTCAAAAGTTAAAAATCACTAACAGTACTAACAGTAAGAGCTTTTTTAAATAGGCCGATATAGAAAATGAAACCTAAAATTATTTATAGTATAGCTTAGGACTTTGGACTAGATCTAGGGATCTAGAATCTAGATTAGGACTATAAGTATAATGGGCATTAATGGGAAATGCAATATTTGAATATACACAGACAGAGAGTCTATGTTTAACAGATTCTAACCGATAGTTAAAAAAAAAAACAAAAAAAAAACAAGTAGAATCTAGATCTACAAGTTGTATACAAAGTCTGGTTTTAACTTCAACAATGCGTGTTGCTGGACTTATCTTAAATAAATAAAGTAAGTACTAAGTAAGTAGGCTTATTTCATAATCGTTACAATACGGATGTAGATCTAAATCTAGTCCTAATTTCTAGGTCTACATTTCAAGTTCCGTAGCCTATTCTGCCACTGGATTGTAGATCTAGATATAATACTAGCTAGGGCCTAGCTTAGGTCTACTTGGTTGTCATTCATCGTTTTATAACTTTGGGAAATAAAAAACAACGTTGAGATAAGTAGGTCAATGTACTATGAATGTAGATCGATGTGTTGCCATGGCATATGTTTATTTCGTATTTCAAGTTGCGAAATTGGAATATAAATTATTAACATAGATCTAGATATATCGATTGTTAAACAAAACAAAATGATAGCAAATGGAACATGAAAAAGATCTAGATTCTAATCTATTTTATTATATTAGTTAAAGACAGTCATAGTGCTACATAAAATTCTATTAATTCCGATTTTCATAAACGTACACCGAATACGATTCCCTAACAGAACAAAATCCCCAGACGGGCCTCAACCAAATGGTGGGTGTGTCTCTTTACGTTAGAAAAAAAAATAAACCCAAAACAATTTTAAAAAAAACCCAGACAGGCCACATTATCAGGTCTAGCGTGTAGGCTAGTTAAACACAATATATACCCTATAAAATGACATCAAGTTTAAGCATAAACATGTATATTTAGATTTTTATTGTATATAAATAATCCAATAATTATTAATCCAATTGCTATTGTATATATTAATTAATAATTAATATATACAATAGCAATTGGATTAATAATTATTGGATTATTTATATAATATATTAATAATTAATAATTATATAGATTATAGTAATTTATATATAATATTCTATATCAATGATTAATTAGTATATTAGCATTTGGACAAAGAGAGATACTTTTCATACAAAAACCTGCCCAGAGATCTTGAATGATTTTTCAAATTTTGTTTTACCACTGTCTCTCATGAATTCAAAATTAACATGATATTATTAATTTCCAATACAACCACATTTTCAAAATCTACTGAGGTTCAGCTATAACCTATAGTGCAATTACTTTTCATTTTCTTTCATTTTTGCCTTAAAGAATTAATTTGAAATCAAGAGATGCTTGGAAGAAACTCTGTATATACTCTAAATGAACTTTATTTTAATATATAAACACTTGCCTGCACACAAAAACTATACAAAATGAGTTTAAAAAAAACCCTTGTGGTTGTTATTTTATAAAGAAATTGTAATTTATTTTTACAGATACATTTTTAATGAATTTTTTAAGAATCAGACCTTCATCGGCCAAGTTGTTCGGCCAAGTTGTTTTTTCCTGTATGTAGATTTTAAAAAATAAAACATACCACCAAACAGAAACAAGCCTGCACAATTATTAATGCAAATTTTCATGAAATAACCACTACTGTTTCATAATTTATCATTAGAATTTTACAAAAATTTGCAAACATATTTTATAAAATTTTCATTTTTGTTTCCCACTAGCTTTATTTTTTACAGAGCTTATATAAGACTGTACATTTTGAATAGAAAAAAATATTTCTCCTCTCCTATTAAGGCTAGAAATATAAAAATGAGTACCAATATGGTACTCATTCAAACTATCCATTATAAATTAAGTACTATTATTTCTGTGTGTAATCTTAAATAGTTAATACTTTTTTGTTTCAACTTAAGCCCTTTCTTTTTCTTTTCTTTTTTAAAAAATGTAATTAAAAATGAATAGATGAATAAATTTATATATAATATGCTTTATTTTTTGTTTTATTTGATATATATATATATATATATATATATATATATATATATATATATATATATATATATATATATATATATATATATATATATATATATATATATATATATATATATATGTTAGGGGTTCGTCGAGAAATAGAAATCTTATATCCCATTTCTGACACCAAATGTTAGGGCGGGGATAAACCGAAGAGGTGATCTTATTCACTCATCCGTGCTCCTTTGCGTGGTGACAAAGGGGTCTAATAAGACCTGAGCAAAACTAATTAAAATCTATACAACACCAATATTAAACTAAAAATAAAACATAGTAAACACACATAATATGCATTTATTTATCTTTGTTTGACGTCACAAAGGTTTATATGTTAAAAGCAAAGACACAATACAAATAAGACCTGGCCAGTCTTTCATATTCAAGAAAACATCACTTGAATTTCTAATACAAGTCAAAAAGACAAATATAACAATCAAACTTACATTTCAATGCAGAATTAGTCACCGTGGTAATTGACATTAATTCATAGAAAACACATATATAAGTGTGAATAGCAAATCTACATTTACACAACTCAGAATTCACACATGTAAATGCCATTTCCTCTAGTCCTAACTTAAATACTTGCACTGTCTAAGTAATTTCAGAATCACAAGTGTAAACGTTGTTCTTCCTAGTCCTAATGTCACTTGTACTGCTAGGTAACCTCAAAATCAAAACGTAAATGTCATCGTCTCTAGTTCTAACTTTATTACTTGCACTGCTATGTAATCTCAGAATCACACGGGTAAATGTTATCATCACTAGTTCTGATTCCACTAAGCAAACACGGTTTGAGTCCTTCTATGAATACTCATCCGTACTCACAACAATCTAGCTCGACACTCAAACGGCAGGAAGTTTCCAGCCACTGAAATAAACATTGAGCCACTGGTACAAACATTGGGCCACAAAGATAATGGCCACTGGAACGAAGAACATATCTACACGGCAGACGTTTGGCCACTGGTACAACATTGGCCACATGTATAAACATAGGTCACATATGTAAATATCTGGAACGAAGCACATATGTACAGCAACAAAACATCGGCTGGGACAATAATCCAGCCTTAGTGGCCAGCCCTAAAGGCTGCCACCATCCGAGGCCTAGACCATCGTGTCTAGCCTCAGCTATGTGTGTAGGAGAGAGAGACCTCAACATAGTCGCCCTTCCTCATATATAGGTTAGTCTCACCCCCTTATCATCTCCCTAGAGCTATAGAACCCGAGTTGGGCCCCGTCCCATCTCTCGACGTTCGAGATAACACCGGTCACTATGCACCCATGCGTTGCACATCCGATAACTGACCGCTATAGATCTTCACTTTGTCTCAGGGCTAACGATCGTGTCATACACCGCTCGAGCTAACGCACGACCACGCGGTACTCCCGCCGCGTTTCACACCTGACAACTGACCACAACAGAGATCCTGAGTAATGATTCTACCGGGGCGTCCAGCGGCATGCCCGAACTCAACTTTAGATATAAATCACCGCGGGTGTCTTCCCAGCATTACGTGCCACCCATGCACCTGCATAGAGCTCGTAGCCCTTAAACGACCAGAGTGAGCCGATAACATTTAATTAAATTTTAGATTCCCCGGCCTGCTCATCCCCAATATCTTAGATTAACCCCTTGGGTTTTTGTAACTAGTCCTAGTCACCCACTCCTTTAATAAGCACCCAAGTTACCATTTTACTTAAAAATAAACAATATAGTACCAGCCAACATGCTTACTTAAGAATCAACAATTTGGTACCAGCCAACATATATATATATATATATATATATATATATATATATATATATATATATATATATATATATATATATATATATATATATATTTAAAGCAGTGGTGGGTGGCTTTAATATTACAATAAACAAATGTATAGTATATGCATACTTGAAACTATATTTGATTCTAGGAATATGAAATTTATAAACAAATAGTTTTCCTAACAACAATTATTTACCAAGCTCAGTTAGCATTTCTCCTATGTGGAGACCCCTTAATATGATTTAAAAAAATATTATATTTATCTTTTTTTTCCTCAGTTCACATCTAGAGGGAGTAAGCTGTTAAAAAAATGAAGCTATATTCTTAGAAAAAAAAATAGAAAAGTTTAGACATAACATGAAAAAACAACAACTCACAATACATAGCGTTTTTTAACGCAAGTGGTTTACCTTTAAAAAAAACAGATTAAAAAAACAAATTTACTGTGATAAAAGAAACCAATGAAGAAATAAGAGTGGGAAATTAATATATAGTTAGGTTCAACTGTTAAAAATAAATAAAAAAAAACAAGTTCTAAAGAATTTAATATTTTGTTGTTCATTCTGCTCTTAAAGTTTGGCCAGGAAAGATGGCAGTTGTTAAAAAATTACTGGAGTTTATTGAAAAAACAAATGAGTTCCCTTGCTCTTTCAACTTAGAGACTGCAGATCTTGGTAGCAGATTTAATAACTCTTGTGAGTTGCAAAAGCCAAATACAGGTGAGGGCCTGTGGTCTTACTTCAAACGCCACTTGGAAGAAAATACTGACCAATTAGACCCAGAGCTTGTTGATCCTACATGGAAAGATAACCTGAGGGTTCGAGTCTACGCCGAACTTGGAGACTTTGACAAGGCTGAGGAACTTAACAAGGAAATTTTAGAAAGAAGTCCAGAAAATTTGGTGGCTCTTACTAATTTTGCATATTTGTTGGCTAGTATGTTTCAGTTTGATGAAGCTGAAAATGTAGTAGCAAAACTAGAGGAAATCAAACAGAGTAAAGACTTTAATCAATTTAAACTAGAAGCAATATGCGAACAAGGATACACTTACACTAAAATAGCTGTAACAACTGACAAAACCAATAAACAAAATGCCATTAAAATTTTGGAATACTGTGTGAATGAATTAAAAACTAATGAAGAAAATTATAAAAGCTTCAATGGGACTGAAAAACTAGAACTTATGTTAGCAATCTTGTATAGGCGTAGTAGTTTTCCAATGCGTGATGAAACTGATTATGAATTTACTATCAAAGCAGTTAAGCTTTTCAGTTCAATTTTGGAATCAACTTTGAGCAATTCAGTAAAGTCAATTTGCTTTGTAGAGCTTGCAAGAATAAATAAAAATGAACATGGGGAAAAGTTTTATGTATCAGATTACTCAGTCACAGACTTGTGTCAGCTTGCTGTGGAATTGAAACCACACAGTTTGCATATTCTAGAAACACTGGGCCCAATTCTTGTATCTGTTGAAGATCTTTCTAAAGCAGAAAGTTTATTACAGGAAATAATAAAGAAAACTAATGAGTCTTTAGCACACAGCTACTTAGGTGGTGTTTATTTTTCTCAGGCTAAAAGGTTTAAGTCTAACTTCCCTAAAGCTCATCATACCATTAACAGAAGAAACACCAGGAATGATGTAGTGAAACTCTTGTTATCAAGTATCTTAAAAATGCCTGCTTACAGTGCTAAAAACACCTATCTAAGAGAAGCTATTAAGAATTACACAATTTTCCTTAAAAGTGATTATGTCTTTGCAGGCAGTCATTGTATAATAGCTTTTAAGATGTTTCAGGCAAAAGAGTATGATGAGGCATGGAATATTTGTCAGAAAATTATTCATGTGGGAACGATTCTATCAGCTTGTCATATTGATGCTTATTATATTATGGCACTCTGCTGTGCTATCAGGTTTGCTAACTCTTCTGTAATGGATAACTACAAAGAAATAGAAAATAAGTGTTTAGAAATGGCTGTTTTAAGTATCCGCTGTGCAGCTGTTTTATTGTTCGATGAAGAGGAAGCATATACTGAGGATCAACAGCTTTTATGGCAAGGGTTTCTTGTAGAGCCTGAAAATATGCTATATTATATAATGGACCCTAAAATAAATTGCTTTGATAGATTACAGAAACTCATGTGTATGTTTAAGTGTGCATTACCTGACCTGGAAAGAATTATCCAGAAGACAGATGAAGATTGGAATGACGTGACACAAATAGAACAAGAACTAGAACAACTGAAAAACACCAACCTAAATTTAGCTTTGCTGTATCTGTCGTTGATCAACTTGAGACCAGAGACCAGACAGCGTATCTCATGGAGAAACAGTCATGTAGTACAGGCAATCAAACTTGAGGCAGCCAAAGACATCTTCACACAGGGGAAACAGGCAGATATCCATACAAGATTGTGGCAGGAAATCTTTAAAGAAGAATTTCAAATCGATCCACATTCTAAAAAATACCCTGCCGCTCATCTTGATCGGTTGATTCAGGGAACAGCATGCGACATATTTATAGTTGAAAACATAAAACCAACAGACAATGTTGAAAATGACAATAGTTTTTCTGAAATTTTAGAAGAGGTTTTAAATAGCAACTGCGATCTATTAGTACTCAAATCAACAGATTTTAGTAACCCCTTCCAGATAAATTATTACATATCTAGATCAACTGTTTTGATTTTCATACAGAAAAAGATGAAAAACAAAGATGCAAGCATGGAAATGAAATTCAACACAGCTCACACTAGTACTAATAAGGATGCTAATTTTTTAAATGAGTCTCTGGAAATATTTGCTGCCTCAGTTAAAAAAAGGTCTAAGCCCAGGCATGCCATCATCGCTGTGGTAGAAGAGGAGAATCACGAAGACGAGCTTAGAATTCCCAAAGAACTTTCTGGACACTCTCAGCTGACTTTTACATTGGAAGAAATGAAAGCTTTGGAGGAGATAAAAGTATTAGAAGACATGAAATATCCCGAAGAGATACAAGTTTATAAGGAGTTGAAAGTTTTGGAAGAGATGGAAAATCCCAGAGAAAAAAGACATGTTGATGTTTTTATGAAACTTTTCAAGTGTATAATTAGACAGTAACTAGAAATATCATACATATATTCTTTTGAAATGTTTAACTAATGACAGAAGTGTTAGTCATGTGCAGTCCAACTAAGAATGTTTAATGTCTTCCTTAATTAAATCATTAAACTTCAGTTCCTTATTTGAATACATAAACTACAGAGACTTTAAATTACTATTGGTTATAATTGTTAATAATAATGTGCAGTTTTAAAATAACTTACAAATATACTTTTATTTATTATATGCATTAGATTATTTTTTATTATGTCCATTGCATGTTTAAGTATATCATACTTGTTTATGCTATGTAATTTTAGAAATAGATCTACTGTTTTTAGTCACAGATATGTAATTTTAAAATTAAGTAAAGTATACTATTTACTAATTTGATATTTTTGTTCCGTGTTGCAATAGAACTCTATTAATTTTCTAAGGATTTTTTAAATAATTTAAGATTTTTGTAGGAACCTACGGCCTAGAAACTAAGAAATAAAAAACACTTTTATGTGTGTGTGTATGTATGTATATATATATATATATATATATATATATATATATATATATATATATATATATATATATATATATATATATATATATATATATATATATATATATATACAAAGTAGTGGAAGTAGAAACAAGGAACTCAATTAAGCTGTTTTGTTAAGAAAAAAAATGAGTAGGTAGATAAGAAATTACCTATATTATCTTCTTCTTCTTCGTTCTTAATTATTAGTGTTGAAGGGGACCGAGATTTATCTGCCAGTGGGTTTGAACTCGAGACTTTGTTCGAATTTATCAACCATGAGCTTTTTGCCGACTCGACCACGCCTCCAACACAATTAAGCGTTACGTGTCAACTGGTTATGCGCCATTGAGGCCATTGACTCCGATTTCAGCCTGCTTTTCTTTTTGAATTTGCTTCCATAGCCTTTGTCCAAACAAGAACAAACTACAAGGCAGCGGTTGTTTAATTTTGGAGTTGTCCCTCCTAGAAGAGTGGCTGTACCCAGCTAACGAGCCTCATCTGCCCGAGGGTTCGACCTATATTAAACTACTGTTAATTTATCTGAGGTTGTAATTTTGTAGCATTGGTAAAAAAATAACTAATCAACATAATTTATGATTACTTAACTTTTTTTCCCTGTTGTTTGATAGGTTACTAGCCACTAAGGTGTTTTCCCTCTCTTACTTAAATAGATACATTCATTTTAAGTTTTCTATTTTAAATATATGGTTGTGGGTAATTCTATGTGATACTCCATATTCAATTTAATGTGGCTTTTTTGGATTTTCAAACATCCTTCCCTGTCTATTTATTACATAGTATCAAAGCAAAAAAATTTGATTGTTAAAACATTAATATTATTTTGACCCTCATCTCTAACAAATATTTAAAATGATGACTCTAGGCTAATCAATTATGTTTTTTAAAATGTTTATTAGTTTTCAAATAATAAAGCTATAAATAAATATATATCATATTTTGTTTTTGTTTTAAAATTTTATTTAAAATGTTGAAAATGTGCACCTTAGGTATTTAAAATTTCTCCTATAGTGGTTGCATTCTTTTGTTAAGAAAAACTAGGCTAATAAGGCTATTATGTAACTGATATAGAAAAATTGCTGTTATGTAGCATATATATATATATATATATATATATATATATATATATATATATATATATATATATATATATATATATATATATATATAAAAGCGATCCAGTCCCGCGCTTTGCTGTGGGCTGATGTTGGCCTAATACTTTAAAGAAGATTACATCTATGCCTTACTAATCAAGTATTTTTTTAGATATGTGACCTTTAGATACGTGGCAGGATTGTCCACTTTACCACCCAGACGCCCCAAGACGTGCTGTATAAAAACACTGAGTGTAAGTTAATCACCCTCTATAATAATAAGGTAGAATATGCCTTGACGACTGCCCTGGTGTCAGGGGGTTCTCATAAAAATGCGCAACGGAAAAAAACGCAACGGCAAAAATTGCAAAAAAAAATAATTTTGCATTGGAAAAAAGCGCAAACAGAAAAATGCGCACACAGAAAATGCGCGTTTTTTTGCACTTTTTTCAGTTGCACATGTTTCTGGTCACCTTGTCAGAGACGTTATGGGACACTTTCAGTAGCCACAGAATATTTTTAAAAATTATACTTTTAAAAAGACACAAAACCCAACAGTTATGCAAATATTACATAAGGAGCAAAGCAATGAATGTTTAGTTTTTTCAATATTTTACTGAACATGAATTTTTAGCAATATCTTTCACTTGTAAGCTTACTAATATATTTTTAGATCCATTTAAAGGTTGATGCATTTAATAAAATTCAATATGGGATTATGTACAAAAAATCCTAGTTTGTAAACTAGAGATATTCAAAATAGAGATAAGTATATACAAATAATAAACAAAATACAAAAAAAAAAATATCACATAATTGTAATAATTTTTAAATTATAATAACATGGTATCACAATGTCTTTCTTTAACATATAACCTTGAATACTTATCTAAAAAATGAAAAATAAAAAATAATGTTAAAATAAATCATAAATTCATGTGATAGTTTATTTTAAAATATTCACTAATAATATGTATTTTTAAAATACTTGATCATGATATCATAATTGAAGGCTTTTAAAATGTCAAGTGTTTATATTTTTTATATATGTTTATACGTAAAGTTACTTTTTGAACCTGACAGCCTATGGGGTAGTGTGAAGTTCACCTGTTTCTGAAAACTCAATATATATCGGGATAATTTGGTCAGCATTTTTGGACGGATTTATTACACATTAAAATTATTCTAAGCTTAAGAATGTTACATTATCTATAAACCTTTACTTAAACATTTAAAAAGTATTCAAGCTTTAAAATGTTACATTATCTTTTTTATACCTAATTTAACTAAGAATTCTACTTTTAAATATTTTTTAAAAATTATTAGTTTAATAATGTAAGTTGTTTTCAAAATTTCAATGACAAGGATGTTCTGTTTATATTTCAATACTATAGCCAACACAACTACTAAGTAGTAGCTCATAAAGGGGGATTTAAGTATAATTTTTTAAGTAACTGAGTTGTCAAATCTGGTAGTGTCATCACATCATCCCCAAGTGTAATGCTGCTTAGTTCACACTGTACCTGTAACATAATATTTTATTTCAGTGAGTTTTTTCTTAGTGTTATCCATGAAACATCAATTCTGATTCAACAATATCCACAAATTATGAGCGGAATCCAGAATAGAATATAGACATACAGTCACCCTGTTAGAAAACTATTTGACTTAAATTGCTGAAAAAAAAATAGTTGCAAATGACTAAAGTATGGATTAAAAAGGTTTTTAGCAAGTAAAAAATTGCAATGTTTTATCTTATATAATTATGAATTGTGTTATTTTTCTCATTGAAAATTTCTGAACTGCTAACAAACATTTTATGTTTTTTTTTATGATTTAACATTTGAAAAAAAAGCATAACATTAGTATAGAATGCAAAGGTGTTGTATAGTTTGCTGAATGTAACAAGTTATAGATATATTTATAAAAAAAACAACAATTACATTCATGTCGCATGATGTCCGAAAATATTAAAACAATCTTAGCTTTACTTTTATTAAATGTAACCATTACCTACTAAACACAAGATCGACTTTATAAAGGGGAAATGAACTTGCTTTGCAAAATTCTAAAAATATTTCCTTTTTGTTAAGGCTTTTTTGTAAACATTATATTTATAATTACTGAACAATTATATACCTGTCGCATAATGTCCAAGAATTCAGTGTCTCGAGCAAGTTCCTTTACACATTTTGTAAGTACCTCAATAAAAGGGCTCCCTATTTGTCTTCTGTAAGCTTTGTAGCCTGAAAAATAGTTTTAAAAAAACCAATACTTGTAGAATTCTTGTAGAAAAATAACATTAAATTTTAATTTAAATAATATTTCTGAGTTATTTCAGTTGAATAGATTAAAAAAAAATGTAGAATTGTGATTACCTAGGGAAGAAGAATGAACAAAGCACATGTCAGCTGTTTCTGCTGTACGATCAAGATTCAAAGCAGCGGCTGCTCCATCTTGTCTGTTGGAAACAACATGACTGCTGGGACTGTCATTGCTAAGTTGCTGACTGCTGTTTTGTGTTAATTTATCTTCAAAAACTAACGAAATAAAGATAAAATTGATTAGGACTAAGTTTTAAATTTTTTAAATTTATGCTGCAGATATAATTTTTGCTTAAAATAGTGTATTTCTTGTTGAGTAGACACTTTACTACTATAATTAATATTATAATTAAATGAAAAATTTAAACTAATGCAAAACATAGTATCTCAAAATTAAACTGATTATGTAGTAAATCCTCTTTAAACTTACCTCCCCTGCAAGCTTGAAATATAAATAGCTTGGGTTTACCCTTCATTTGTCTACAGTTTCCAATTTTGAATATTTGTTGTATCTCAAATTTTGAAATGTATTGCCAGTCTACACCATAAAGAGTATCATTTTCCATACCATGTGACAATATAACAACAGCAAGAGCACTAGCTGAATGAAGCGCTTTATGTTTAGCAAAGTCTGTTAACTTTTGTCGCATTTGCTTTTTATGGAATAAGAGGAAAAATGAAAAATCAATAAAACAAATTTTAATTCGTAGTTTTAAAAGCTGGATTTAAAAGTTATTTTTAAAAATCTGCATATACTCATTTCATATATATATATATATATATATATATATATATATATATATATATAAATTTTTTAGTAACAATGCAAAATTAATATGAAATCATCTTTTAGCACTAATTTTTCTTTTAATGCGATACTAAACAAACAGCTTAAATATAATTAATTGCTTGACCATGAAAATATTGAGAGGAATATTGGATGCTAGAAATGAGCTAGTACCTTTGATTTTAAAATAAAACTAAACTACCTTTGCTGTTAAGTTCTTTTCCATTGTTACGTTATGTCCCAGAAAAATAAACATGTCTCGCATTCTTTCAGCATCTTCATCACTTCCAATTCTTTCATCAGCAGGATTTTTAAAATTCTTATTATTAATAATAAGAGTAAAACCACGTGGGACTGTGGACATTGGGTACCTTGATTCCTGAAAACAGATTTAAATTATGTTTACAATAGTTCAAATGCAATGTGAATTTAAAACTCTAAGCAACAATATAAATGTGTTTCATATTAAATGCTTTGACAACAAATAGTAAAAACCAAGTTTATTTTATTAATTCAATCAATGTGTAACTTTAATTGATATTTAACTGTAATGACAAGTGTTTGTTTTTTTAAAGAAAAGAACATATTTTGAGCAGCAGGTCTATAATTTGAATATCTTACCACTTGATTGAATCCTGAAAGTTGAAATAAAAGTTAAATAAGTAATTCCAAAATAAAATTATTCTAAATTTATATTTAAAAGTATTTCACACTTTATGATGAACTACAACTTGAATATCTTAGTTAAAATTTTAAAAAGGTGAGAATTTTACAGATGATAAAATGTACTAGTTTACCATACCTGCAACGGAATGCTGATTTATCTGAGAGAAAGATGAGTGTGGTGTAACTGAAGAAGCTGCATTTGAATGTGAGGATACAGCAGGTGGTTCATTGTATGAACACAGAACTGGTTGAGTTTCATTTAAAGAATGCTGGAAAATACCATTTTAATAACATTATAATTAAACTGTTAAACTGAAACAAAAGATCATTTTTGTAAATGATTCCTGAGAGCTGAATTTAAAATTGATATTAGGCTAGCAAAGATGATCTACTTTAATGTTACAAAAGGTTTCACAATACAAAGTTGCAGACTAATAATGCAAATTGTTAGAATAAAACAAAAAGATTTTTTTTTTGAAAAATAGCATATGCTCTTGTTAAAATACTTCTAAACATTTAAAGGCAAGAGTATTTTATTTTCAATTTAACATTCTTATAAAAACTGTTTATTATTTTAAAAATATTACAAATAACAGTACAAGAAACTTAAAAAAAAATTTATAGATTAAAATATCAAAAAGCCAATTTTGTCAACATTGATTCAGTTAAATAAGAATTTTTTTTTAACCTCATTGGTTGGCATCAGAGGCTCCTTAGCTATTCTTGAGTATTGTGCCTTTATGTTTTCCGCAGTATTCTGATTTACTTCTGCAACAGCACCAACAAACTTTCTAAAACCGTCCAAGGAGAGACGTTTGACATTTTCACAAACTCTGGTCATTTTATCATAGGATCCCTGTCCACACTACATAAGAAACAGCATACATTAAAAATGTTACTGTAAGTATGAAACACATTTAAATATTTATACATGGAATTATGAACAACAACAGAAGTAATACATCATTTCCTTCATGTTGTTTGTTGTATACAGTACAAAACAGAATCTAACTGCTGACAAAACAGGTAGTGAACCTATATTATAATAATATAGACCTATTAGGGCCTACTACTATTAGGCCTAATTATATTATATTATATCATATATATATATATATATATATATATATATATATATATATATATGAATAAACTAATTTATATATATATATATATATATATATATATATATATATATATATATATATATATATATATATATATATATATATATATACATACATATATATATATATATATATATATATATATATATATTATATATATATAAATTAGGTTATACATATATAATATTATATATATATATATTATAATATATATATATATATATATATATATATATATATATATATATATATATATATATATATATATATATATATATATATATATATATATATATATATATATATATATATATATATATAATATATATATATATATATATATATATATATATATTATATATATATATATAAATATAATATATAAATATATATATATAAATTAGGTTATACATATATAATATTAATATATAATAATTATAATATTATATATATATATATATATATATAATATATTTATATATATATATATATATATATATATATATGTGTGTATATATATATATATATATATAATATTATAATATATATATATATATAATATTATATATGTATAACCTAATTTATATATATATATATATATATAATATATTATATATATAATATTATAATATAATAAGTTGAATTATTAGACCTAAATTTACAGTAGGCCTAACTCTACTACACTAGATTTAAGATCTAGAATCTAGATTCTAGATCTAGATTCTAGATAGAAGTTAACTCAAATTTAATCTGCTTAAGACTTGAATCAATACTAATACACATAATCAGGATCTAATTCTACTCACCTCAATTTTTTCAAGGGCCATTGATGAAAATAAGTTCCCTAGATTTATGTGGTGTTTAATAATTTCATAATTAACATCTTTGGAGATGTCATGGGTGCAACAGTTGACGACTTGAACTATGATGCTGTGATCTCTGTGTAACTTCGAGGCTAGTGACATGCCACTCATTTTCCAAAGGTGAAACGAAACAGTTGATTAGTTAGACCATAAGTATTCGAATTTGTATGTGTAAGAGCTAGATCTAGGTAGGACTTATAGATCTAGATAATAAACTAATAACTATAACGGTTGGGTCTACATGGCGAAAAGGACGACTAAGATGGTCAATTATTACTTAACTTTACGTAGGCTTGGTCTATCGGGTAAACCCGATATTCATAAATTGAACTCCGGGAAATCCGACATCAAATGGAATTTTCCCGAGCTAGAAAAGCGTTTCACAAGTGCCTCGCTCTGCCCTGTTCTGTTAGCAGAGGCGTAGCCAGTGGCGTGCAGACCTATGTAGATGCCCGGGGCAAAATCAAGCGGAAGATGCCCCCATAAATACTTTTATATATATATATATATATATATATATATATATATATATATATATATATATATATATATATATATATATATATATATATCATTTATTTAAAAAAATGTACTTATCTTAATTGAGATGAAAACGTTGACTACAGCCAGCTAAATCCAAATGGAATGAATGGTTAGAACTTGGGAGAAGGGGGGGGGAGACAATTGCGGGACGGGTCGTGGTGGGGAGGGGGGGGGGGGCTGTGATGCACTACAAAAGAGTCTCATCCGGTATTGTATTACCACCCGGGACCGCAGGGACAAAAACGCTGTCCGTGTCTGCAATTAGGGCGTCAGATACGCCTTTATTAATGGGATGTTTCTCTCTTGGCCTGTTTAGGAATTCCTATAGTGTAACTAATACAGGTGAGAGTGTGCATTGAACTAGAGATGTTTCAGATTTTTCTCTCTAAACCACTTGGTCAAAACGTCAACTCTTTAAAGAGATGGGTGATGCTAGCTAGATACTCTCAAACTATCTTAACCTTGAATATAACAGAAGTGTACCTTGGTTGGCTAAGGGGTCATCCATTTATGACGTCCACACATTTTTGGGATTTTGGACCCCCCCCCCCCTCTTCCCCGTCCACAAACGTCCACTTTTGACGGACCCCCCCCCCCATCCCGTCGTGGACGTCCAGACTGACTATAAGTTTTTGCATAATCTTCTTCCACTATTACTCAAGCTACTGCATTTAGTGTGTATATACTCTGAGTGTATATAGTATTACAAATACTGGTACAAATGTGTTTTATTGTCCTTCGTGTCCCACACCTGAACAGGGACAGCGTGCTAACCCCCCCCCCCCCCCCCCTTCTCCACCCCTCTCCCGTCTCACAACTGAACTGGGATGACCCAGCCTACCTAGAGAAGTGGTCGCCTGGTATTTGACCTGGGATGCAAATGTGGGGAAACTTGTAATTGGATATCTTATTGTATTCCAGGTTAAGCCAGGGCATAGACCCAAGCTGGGTGGTTAAAGGGCCAGAGAGATAGGATAGTTGAACTTAAGCTTCGCTAGGAAATATTTTTCTTTCACACTACCAAAAATAATGTTAGATTTAATGTGTGGACGTCCACATTGGGCCAACCCCCCCTCCCCCTGTCCACACGCGTCCACAAAAGTCAATTTTTTTTCGGACCCCCCCCCCCCCCCCCCCCCCCCCCGTGTGGACGTCATAAATGGATGACCACTAAAGCTGCCAGCTTAAAAAAAACATTTCTAAATCGGACTGTGTTTAAAAATCCACTATGCTATGTCAGACCCTCCCTAGGCTTGGACGCGTTTTCACAAATTTAACACCCAAGTACGTCTGTCTAGTTCAGGTGGGGGATAATCCACTAACGGCTTCCATAGCCTAAAAACCCACACCGCATCCCCACATTTCATTACATCATTATGGGCTCAATAACTCTATAGATAGCTCTACTATTAACTGAAATAAAACTGGCTCTGCATGTGCTACTTTAAAGAAAGCTCTACTCAGAGTTCAAAACTTTAACTTTAACACTACTTAAAGCATGCTCCTCCTATTTGTAAAAATCAATATGGGCGCAATTATTCTGAATGATATCATTACAATGTATCGAAAACAATATGTTGATTCGTATTCTTAAGATTGTCGCTACAGTGTATCAAAAACATTATATGGGCATTCTTATTCTTAAGTATGCTTATATAATGCATGAAAAAAAAATATACTAATGGCTGTCAGTGGCTTAGCTACCGTAAAGCTAGAGTAAGCAAGGCATAGGGGCCCAAGGCAAATAGGGGCCATTTTCCTTCTTTTAAAAAGTTAAAACTTTTACATTGGAATTTTTATATTTATTTTATATAAATAATTTTTAAAAAATTAATGAAATCAAGTTTTTTTTTTCTACTGTAGAAATAATTTAATTTAAAAAAGGCCCCAAGTCCTTTCTTAGTGTACAGGCAGTGGCATTCAGTGTGGGGGAGGGCGGGCGACTAACATTAACATTGTTAATTTTTGCATAGGGGACCGAAAATCCTAGCTACGCCACTGAATGCTGCCCATACAATTTAACAAAAAAAAGTTATTACACTGCAAATGGCCATATATTTCACCAAAGATGCCCCAAAAATTTATAATAATAATATGGGCATAATTACCCTTTGGATGCCCTTAAAATGGATAATAATGAAGAAGTACATTAAAAAATAGCTTTAGAGATGCCCCCAATGTAAACAACGATGATTGGTGTAATTACTGTTGCATGTCCTTCGAGTGTAATACATGAATATAAGCTTAATTACTTTCAAGATGCCCCTACAATATATAAAATGAAGATGGGCATACTTACTGTATGGATGCCTTTAAAATGTATTATAAAGTGAAGTGGACATATTAGTAAATGCTCATAAAATATATTATAATGAATATACGAATAATTACTTTAAAGATGCCCCTATAGTGTATAAAAATAAATATGATTTAAATACTCGACGGATGTCCTTGAAAATGAGTATAACGAATACGCGCATATTACTTTAAAGATGCCCTAATACAGTGCATGGGAATAACTTGGTCACAAGTACTCTAAACGATGCCCCTACACTATACTAAATAAATATGACACACATTTATTAATGGAATATCATTGACTTCCGTAGGACTACCCTTCACTGATGCCCGCTGTTTCTATATAAGTTTTGCCATACGGACAGTGTAATGTTAAAACGGCTGACAGACGATTGAGTGTTACAATTTTTTTGAGTGAGATCGCAAGACATATGGAAAGTTAAGATGACACTATGACACGACATATCACAACAGTTTTTAAATTACTAAAAAAAAAAAAAAAAAAAAAAAAAAAAAAAAAAAAAAAATTAACTAATTAATTAAAAAAATTTTTTTTACCTCCGCTGGATGCCCCCCAGTGGTGGATGCCCGGGGCCTGGGCCCCGTCCGCCCCCCCCCCCTCTGCACGCCACTGGGCGTAGCTAGGGGAGGGCGACTAAAATATACTCCAAAAAATTCATCCGACTAAAATCGGATAAGTTAATACTGGATTGGTGAGTTCATAAACTTTACCAATCATCAAAGAAACCAATAGTATTAAAGCGTATTGTACGATTGTGTAACCGTAAATAAAGGCAGTGACTTTTTACAAGATGGTGCATGGGAGGGGGGCGCTTTTTTTGCCAGCTAAAAGCGCAAGGATATACACTTGATTGGTGAGTAGATAACCTTTATCACTAAGAAAAGAAACCAAAAGAAAAAGGTGGTGGGTGGGGGCGCCACTGACATCACACCAATAAGTTTTACACTCACTTTTGCAACATGGGGTGGTTTTCAAATCAGAGGAGTCAGGGTGTGTTGCTTCTCATACACGGCGTAGATATTTCATCAGTGAGTACATGAAGCCTACATTCAATTGAAGTTTTAGTATTGAATTCTGCTAAAACTGGTCAATAAATTTATGAAAGCTCTTATATTTCGTTTACTGTTCGTAACTTCAAACCATACACACATTTAACAGAAGAACGTTTTACGTACAAAAAATTGTGGTATCCGGACATTGGCCAAAGTGTGACAAAATACCAAACGGACGTTGGCCAAAATGTGACAAAATACCAAACGGACGTTGGCCAAAATGTGACAAAATTCCACATGAAAGCCGTCAACAAGAAAGAAATAATATCCTAGCGGTAGAGCGCTAGGCTGCTAACCTTAAAGTCTCGAGTTCAAATCCGGGTTCAAGTAAGCAGAACATCCTTGAGTCCACACAGCTCTGAGGGGTATCTAACTCAGGGAAAGTAAAGGCGGCTGACCTAAGTGCTGACTACACTATCCTTTCATATGCCGAGGTCACAGAAACAAGTGAACTCTACTTCACCTGACCCGTTAGGTACGTAAAGGGAACGTATACTATTACTATACAGGCCTATTATCAAATTGAAACTGAAGGAATTTTATTTTGATATTTTGAGTGCCAACACAACTTTAAGCATTAAAAAACAGACATTGATTATATTTATAACATGTAACGTTTATTTTTAAAAATTGAGAAATCGCTGTTTAAAGAAACATTCTTTCTCTTTAATAAAAAAAATAATTATAAAACATTCATATTATCGCATATAAAATTAATGATGTTTATCATAAACAAAATATATTTTCAAGATTTTATGGACAAATTAAATTAATTAAAAAAAAACTCTATGATGCAAGACAAGTAGGGATAAACATATATGATACATTCTCTCAAATGAAAAAAAAAAAGAAAACAACCTGAAACGAAATGTGTGCAAAGATTTACATTGAAGGCTCTTTGGTTTCCTAAGTACGCTCCTTTATTTAATCAACGATTTAGCAGCTAGCAGCGTGGATAGGGTTCTGCTCAATAATCTTCCAAATAATATATTATTTATTTGAATAATTTCGTCACAACTCTACCACAATAGTTATCTATTTTTCGCCTCTTGAGACACGAATAGTGGTAGTAACTATTGCTGTCTATTTTATCTTTTCACTTATTTTGAAGCTCAGGCATCTCTTCAGGGCTGTCCCCCTCTACGAACACGTCCACCCTTTAGGAAAATTTAAGTGGACGTTCTCCTCCACCCCCATACAAATTTCAAGTGCCACCCCACCCCGGAATAAATGCCCGAAAGAGACACCGTGGATGCCTACTCTATGCCAAAGGTCCCATGACAAACAAATCTAGGGTTTTAGCACCTTATATGCGCGCTGACATACATACATATATACATACATATATGGGTGTGTATATACGTGTGTGTATGAGTGTGA